GCGATCGCGAGTCTCTGTGACCTAGGTAGGTGTCTGTGACCTAAGAATTGTGTCTGTGACTCATTGAAATAAAGTTGCGACAAGTAAAATTTTTGATTTTTTTTTAATCTGTGACCTAAGTGGGTGTCCGTGACCTAGAAATTGGGACTGTGACTCGCTGAAATAGAATTGTGACCTGTAAAAGTTTTGAATTATTTTAATCTGACCTGTAAAAAATTACCTGTGACCTTAAAATTCTTGATTTGTGACCTATAATTTTTTTATCAGTTTTGATCTGTGACCTCGAAATATTTCGTGACCACCTCCATATATCTGTGACCTTAACAATTGTTGAAATCGGAGCAGTCGTCGAAATTCAGTGCGGCCGGAGAACGGTCGCCGGAGTAGTCGTCGGAATTCAGTGCGGCCGGATAACAGTAGCCGGAGCAATGGGGGTGGTGGAGATAGAGTTTGGTGGGATGGGGTTAATTATATTATATTATAGTTAAATATTTAATTTAATATAATAATTGTGAAATATAATTAATTAATTTTTTTAAAAAAACCTGATTTTTACAATTTTAAACATTGGGACCTGGTTTTTGATTTCCTCAAAGTAAATCCCTGAACCATGAATTTTTCCCTTAAATTATAATTCATTTTTCTCTCTTTTTTATGAATCACATTCTCCAATAAAATAATATTACATGTAAATTCAAAAATATTTCCTTCTTTTTAACCACACATTCTCTAAAAAATTAATATTCTTCTCATTATAATTTAAAATAATGGGAGCCAAACGGGAGCTTAGTTTACAGTATTATACGCACTAAACATGACAGAAGTCACAGAACTGTATAATAAACAAAAATTAACTCATACTACTCCCTTAATATTGTCTGAGTGCTATTGAGAGGCTGTAAACATGCCATAGTAGTTTGGAATATTAGATATACAACAAATTTTACAATTAACACATCAATTCTTGAGCCCCACCATTTTATAGCTTGTGTTTGAATCTCATTAAAATGAAAATAGAATTTTTTGGACAGTAATTGATGGGAGAATGTGTGATGAAAAAATGATGAAAAATTTTAAATTTATGTGTAATACTATTTTATTTGGAGAATGTGTGGTTCAAATGAAGAAAAAAATGAAAACGAGATTAAAATAACATGAGCATTGAAGAAACCGATGTTCCAACAGCAAGAGTCTAAAATACTGTTTGATTGTGAACCTTAATAACAATAATACAAAGTATATTCCCAAGTTATAGAGAGGTTTACAGGACAAACAATTCCAGCTTAATAACTCGTGCATTCCTAACCAACATATTTATGTCACATTCTATATATATAAAAATAAAAATCAAGCCAGAATGATTCAAACTTAACGTAGCAAAAAGGGTAAATCCACGCATATATCTTGAAAGAAAGAAAGATTGTTCAAGACGACACTCCATCCGCGCCTGTGGAATAAGAAACAGAATGAAAGACTCGGAATAAAAATACCTTCAAATTAGCCGTTTAAAGGCAAGGAAAAAGAGCAAAAATGGACCCATAGGTGAAACAATTACTTTTCGTGTTCAAATTCATTAAAGAGACGTATATGGTAAAATATAGACCAATAATACAAGTTCTTAACTATTGTAATAATCTTCAAACAAAATAATATTAATAAGATCCTCGTCCAAAATGCACATAAACATTAGCCTTTTGAGCAGCAAAGTAATCAAACACCAATAAAACAAATTGTAGACAAGAAACCTCACTCAAGGGGGAAATAGGGATGAAAATAATTCTTTAAAGTTCTTGTTGGATAATGTAGAACCTAATCATATCATACACTTGTCTCCTCGACCACAAATCAGCCTAATATTTCCACAGGTAAAAGGATTTTAGAGGAACATTTGTGTGTGTGCAAGAGAGGCAAGGAAAAACTTTTATTCTTATTTTTCATTATAGTGAAAACCCAGCAGGTGGACATAGCTTTTATTGAGTCATTGTAGATCTCTGTGCGCTTGCTCATTTTCCAGGTGCTTTTTCTGATTGAATATCATCATCTTAACTACGTGTGAAAATCATAATGGTTCATCAATTCATAAATGCACCATATGTAGAACTACACCAGAAACTGCTAACTGAAGATCCAACCAAAATTTAGTTACAGTAACATACCACTTTTCACTTCTTCATCTTTAAATTCATCGCCTGATTTCCAGACAATATCTTTCAGCCCAGTTGAGAGGTTCTTGTAGAACTGCATATTGAGAAATGTCAAAATTGAACTCATAAATACACTTGATACTTCTTTGAATAAGAAACGCTGATAAGATTGTTCAATCTTTTTATTCATATAAAAATGGCACTCTGGAGCTTTTCCAAGCATATGGTTGATCTTCCATAAGATCATATCAATCTATGAAGTCTTTTTTTGTACAGGTGGCACATTTTGGATGGCGAGTTATTTCTATTTGGAAAAAAAAAGTTTAATTTAATACCTTGTGAAATTCTAAGGTATCTCCTCCAGCCTTGCGAAGCTCAACCACATGAAGTGAAGGAGCCACCTCGAAAATCTGCAATAAATATCAGTTATAAACCCTGCAATATCCAAATATTTTCCAATATATGATGAGTAATTGAAAAGCCTCTTTATACAACGTGCCTCTGTTGCAATCGATAGGTGACCCTTGCGCCCGGTCTTCTCCCCATGAAGTTTCAACTGAGAAAGATGATCCCCAAAAAGAAGTCACAAGTGGAAAACTAGCTCAACATTATAATTAAATGCAATTACTAAACATGAATTATAGAGATAGGTATAAAAGCTATGTTATATTGTTGTACAAATACTATTACGAGCCAAATGAGAGAAATGGGTGCTGAAATCATCGAAAAGAGTGTGGATTGCCTTATAATTGTTTTTCTTCACATCAAACCCCAAAGGCACCGCAGCTTGCTCAATTTTTGAGATTATCTCACTTGCAGGACATTTTGATGTGAATCTCGTTTCCCGTTTAACGAGCCCCTGTCATAAAAATATATTAGGCATTCTCTTGAAATTTTCAAAATTGAGCTATCTGATCACTCACATATCAGGTCAAAGAAACAAACCATTTGTGTTTCAAAGAGGAAACCAAGGTTGAGACCCTGGGATTTGGAGATAAGCTCAAAGGCATTCATTGTCACTGGTGACAAGGTGCGTTCCTCCCGCCTTTCCATGACAAGGTTGGGAGAATCCTGGATGCAGTAAGATTAAAAAACAGCCAATTTATGTTCCATTATAATACATAACAAGCGAGGTGCATGATACGAAAGCTTTTTCGGAATATATAATAAAAGTGCATTACAAAGATACTGACCACTGCTTCATTAAAAACAGCATTAATGTCATCAAGGCTAACGTCCTCTTGTTGAAAAATGGGTGGCTTATATCCTTTCTTGAACCAATCATTCTCAAGAACCTCAGCAATTGTGATGCGCTGTTTCATGTGACAAAATCATATATGGCTTCAAAAGTTGTGACAATAAACTACCCAAAATTTGCTAAACAGGTTGCCGGATACCACATTTCTTTCATTAAAATAAAATACGTTTCTGAATTTTTTGTTTATTTAGCTTTGCCTTGTTTCTTTTCGCGGTACAAACATACGATGCAGAGAGATGACAATTGATAAGCTCAAATGAAGTCAACATACTGTTGATGGATTGGGATCCAGGATTTTCTTGATCAATTTCTTTACACTGGTGGAAAACCAAGGGGGGCATGAAAATTCAGCCTTGAATATCTGCAATCGTGTGAAGATCGATTTAGGTTTTGACTCCAAAAAACCCAAACAGAAAAATCATCATACACTTAACAAAAACCAAAACCGTGATGCAACTGAAAACTTTGTGGAGAATAAAATTTTTTTTTTTTTTTGTGGAGAATAAAATTAGAAAAGCAAGAAAGCAACATAGGTTTAGAATGCCCCTCTTCTTTCGGTCTGTCTATTCACTTTCTCTTAGAGCTACCAGCACGAAAATCACAATATGTTGTTTCAAGTAGTTGTCACATTTTTATTTGGTTCAAATCACTATCATTTGCTGAAGCGGAAAAAAGACCAATGTGTCAACCGCACAATTCCAATTTTCTCTCACTTGGTTGTAAAATATTACAC